CCTCCCTTCTACCGCTGGAGCCCCCGCACAGCACCGCACCGCCACCTACCCCCTCCCTTTCCCCACAAGTGTAAATACGGAAATATAATAGACTGGAATAGAATAATTCTTCACAAGGTATCATCTGCTTTCACGATCCGTTTCTGGTCGGAACTTTTTTTACATTATTCACAAAAGCATCGAACTCGCGTATTTTCCCCTTCGTTTGAGAATAAGGTAACACCGCCACAACGCCACAACCACCGCAACCCCTCTCTTACCCAATACCCCTCTAGGCCACAGCGATCCGCGACCAACGACCACCAACCACCAACAGCGTGTCGCTGTAAAATATGCCACGAATTTCCTCGTTCGCATGTTCTGTGGTATGCTAAATACTGATTTATTTATGTTATGCCGGGAAATGATGAAAACCGCACACATAAACGCCAGTTCCTTATTTCAAACGTTGCTCTTGCTTCCGCAAGAAGATTACTTGGAGTTTTAAACAAGCCTGTTGTACTTGTCTTGACTGTACAATTGCACAATTGTCGGTGCAATATCAAACATGTATTTTATTCGCTGGGCGCAGGGAGCTGGCGAGCAATCCGAACGAGGAAATATCAACCCCGCGCCACGCCTGGACTATTCCAACTCATTTGCAAGGGAGAGCTCCAGCGACGGGAGGAGAGCGGGGTGGGGTGGCTAGGCGGCGGCGTGCAAAGAGACGGCACGGCCGCTCAGCGCCTCCTGATAGTGTCATTACCGGGGGTGGCGTGGCGTAACGTGCCTGCTCGGCGTCACGGCGTGGCAGAGGCCTGGCGACGCCTAGCGCGGTGCGGCGGGGCAGGGCGCTGCGCCCCGGCTGCTGCGCCCCGACATCAGTTGATTGGTCTCCGATGAGGCGTCACGACGCTGGGGACGACCCCCTCCCCCCGTCCTCCCCCCTTACGCTGCAGCACAGACGGGGCCTACTGAGTCTCGCAGTGGGACCCCATGTTTCCGTTTCGAATAAGTAAAGTAAAATGGGGGAGAACGGAGGTCCCGTCAGAGCGTCCTCTAGGCTGGCCTTTAGAACGGCCTTGGCTCTCGCGCTTGCATCTTCTCCTTTTCTACCCTGCTCCGTATACTCCCTACTTCATGCTCCTTGCTTTTGCTGCATGCTCCACTCGGTGCCCCATATGCTCGATGACCTATGCTCCTATGCTCCATGCTCCTTGCTGCGATGCTTTATGCTCCATGCGCCAGGCTCCGTCCTCCCCATGCCCTCTGCTCTTTGCTCCATGCCCGATGCTCCGCGCCCCGTTCCGAGCTCCATTACCCCCTCCTCCCGTTTATTACCGTGAAATTTAGTACGTTAGGTACCTTCACCTTCGAATTGCAGATGGCGGGAAAGATAAACTCAGGACTGACGTGAACTGGGCAGCTGCTGTTGTACCAGCTCTTCACATCCCTGCAAATGGCAGCTTATTTTCAAATATCCGAAGCTCGCCGAAGCGTCTACTACTTTTCTCTCCCAATCCGCCCGATTTTATTTTACCGGGTGATCGCCTATATGGAGCGGGCGGGCGGGTTTTACGACGGCTCCAGTCCGGTCGGCATTCAGTACAAGACCCCCACTTCTCTCGCTCTCTCTCTTTCTCCCGCTTACCCGTGCAGCGCAAGCGCGTTTACCAACTTTTATTTCCTTTTGCACAGCCGTGTTTGTTCTCCCCTCATGAGCGCTCACTCCCCGAGAGGAATGAACGCAACGCCGTAAAGACACCCCTCCAAACCTAGCGGTTATATTTCCCTCACTCGCCTCTCGCTCTCCTCGCCAACTCAATCAAGCGGCGCGGAGAGAGGTTGCGTTCCCTCGCGACCGCCCCGCGCCGCTGTGAGATTCAATTCAGAGTGTCTAGAATATTAAGAGGTGTGATGAAGGGGGGGAGGGGAAAATAATTACGAGACGACCTTTAGCTCCGCTCCCCTCTTTTTTTTCTTTGTTTTCTTTATTTGTTGAAGAATAGCGGACTACCTCGGCTGCCGACTGCGATTGTTCTCTTTGTGAGTTTTTGACTAAGATGAAAAGGCGTGGGAATGCAGCCACATGTACCTAAAATGCCATCATGTAATGAAATATAGGTGCTCCAGGGTGGCGTTTGCAGGATATTGGCGGGAAAACTCACCAATCAGGTTTCAAAGTTTTGCTTAAATTTTATTGTCATTCTATATTACACTTTTCAACAGGGATATCACGCACACACAAAATACAATAAATTATGGTGTAAGAAAAATAAATAGATTTTTGGTAATTTTTTTGGCATAGTATCACTATGCTGACTTGGTCCTAGATGATGTAATCTGAAACAGACGACAAATGCGCTCCCATCAGTCCTTGCGGGGGGATTAGATGGGCTGGTGGTTCTCGGCACATCGACCCCATCCCAACCCAACCCAGACCCCAACCCAACCTCGGCCCACTCCATCCCCCACCACCACCCCACTGCCCAGGGCCAACTCTTGTGTCCCTCCGTAATCCCTGCTCGTCCAGGAACCAACAACAAAAGACGGGATGTAAACACAAACAGCCCCGAATTCAAAAAAATAAAAATAAAAAACAAATTAAACGGCACGAAACCCATTCATTCGCGCATGTGAGACCGCCTTCCTCCCCTCTGGGCGGGCGCGGCTGCGGCTGGTCCCCCCGCGGGCTGGCTCTTGCCCTCGGGCCGCTCGGCCAGCTCGTGTGGACTCAGCAGAGCAAACACGCCAACAGCGACGCGGCCAACGCGGCCATTGCCGTTCGACCCTCAGACATTTCCAGTTCCACTCTCTCTTGCTTTGCGCTTCGTCAACTCGGCTCGCTGTCTGTCTCTAAACCCCTCGGCGGTTCAAGTTGCGCCGGTGCCCCCCGCCCGGACCCCCGCCCCGCTGTGGTGGGTGGAGCAGGGTGGGGTGGGTTACTGCACCCCCCACCCCCTTCAGCTCGCCTCGTCAGTTTTATACCGGCGAGGTAATATTCGCGACTGTTTTGCTTGGAGTTTTGCTGCTCCTCACGTGTTCGCCCGCGGGCGCGGAGGCGTGCCGGTGGGCGGCGCGGGGAGGGTCGCGGCCGCGTGCGAGGGAGAGAGAGAGAACTCTTCCGATGATAGCCGTATCAGTTCACCGGGGATCGGGGATTCTTCTTTCCCCGCCGGCTTTCTCGGACGCGTCCCCGGCGTCCTGTCCCCGCGCCCCGGACCTTCCCGAGGAGGGCAATAAATACACTACCCGCACCGCTCTCCTCGGCGAGGAGGAGTCACATTACGAGTTGCCGCCAGTCTCGAGGGGTTTCCGGCTCCCAGGTGGATTCTGGAGAAAGACCGGGAGGAGGGGTGGGGAAGAGAGAGGGGAGACAGGGGGGAGGAAGGGTTTAACGCGATGAGACAAGCAGGCAGGCATCCGTCAGACTCAGCGGGGACGGAACGCTAATGCCTTGTCTCGGCTGACTGTGTCTAATCTTTTGCAAACTGCCTGCGGTCCACGCCGAACAGCGGTCCACCCCTTCCCCTGCACGGCGCAGTATACCCACCTGCTAGTGCTAGTGCTGCCCCCGGTAGGCGAGGCTCTGGGCGTCGCCGGCGTACACGGGCTGCGCGGGGAGGACGCCCTGCGGGACGCTCTGGATGGCCTCGGCGGCGCCCTGGGGCAGCTCGAAGGCGCGGGCCGCCGCGTAGTGCGCGTCCCAGGGGGCGACGTGGGCGGACAGCTGCGACACGGGCGCCTGGTCGGCCGCGATCTTCTTGCAGAGCTGGAAGACGGCCAGGGACAGGGCGATGACGAAGGAGAAGAAGCCGAGCTGGAGGGCGTTCCACGCCTTGAGGCCGAGCACGCCGAGGGCCAGGGGGATGAGGGTCATGGCCTTGAGCAGGACGAACACCAGCAGGGGCACGACCATGCGGCGGAGCTTGCCCTTGCTCTTGCCTGCAACACCGAATAACTGGATCAGCAACAAACACGATCAGGGAGGCGCGCGGGGTTCGCGCCGGCTTGTTCTACCCCTCCTCCGCACATCCCTCCTCCACGTGGAGTTCACTCAAGACGTGCGGCGCGCGTGTAGCACCGTGTAGCACCGTGTAGCACCCCCCTTCCCTCCCTTTCGCACTTTACCCCGGACCGAGTGTGACAGCAGCTCTGCGAGATCCCGCGATGTGTCAGAACTTAGACCGCTTTTTGTTGCCACCCTCCTCTTCCCCTTACTAGACTTAGATTAGAACACACGGCTCCCTCGCGCCCGCCCGAGATGCTGGGCCGAGCTGCCGAGCACCCTCCCGGCGGGTCCGACCTGCCACTGCCGTCTACCGCCTAATTACAAGGAAGGCGACATGGGGCGGCCGCCGGAGCCGCCCTCACCCCCCCACCCCGCCCCCCGCCCCGGGCGGCGCCACCAACTCGACTGGCAAGGCGTCGGCGCCGCACAACTAATTTCTCATTGTGCCAATGCCGCCTTTTATGTACATAAGAAATTGTGCGGCGAGTTAAGCTCGCGTTCTGATCCGCCTTTGTTCTGCGGGCGAGTGGAAGTGGCTATAGGCCTCTCGGTGAACAAGACACTTA